CACAGGGAACATCTCACGAGTAGAAGGAAAAATGGATTCAATAAAATTTCAGCAAATTTTGGTTGGTAACTTGATGCCATCTGTGAAAAAGCTGAAGTTAAAGAGAGGATGGCTTCTACAAATGGATAATGATCCTAAACACACCTCGAAATCCACGAGGGATTACATCAAGAGGCGTAAACTGAAGGTTTTGCCATGGCCTTCACAATCTCCTGACCTCAACATAATTGAAAATCTATGGATAGATCTTAAAAGAGCAGTGCGTGACAGACAGCCCAGAAATCTCAAAGAACTGGAAGACTTTTGTAAGGAAGAATGGGCAAAGATACCTCAAACAAGAATTGAAAGACTCTTGGCTGGCTACAAAAAGCGTTTACAAGCTGTGATACTTGCCAAAGGGGGCAGTACAAGATATTAACTCTGCAGGGTGCCCAAACTTTTGCAGACGCCATTTTTTTGTTTTCTGTTATTTTGAAAGTGTAAATGATGGAAATAAAATCTAACTTTTGTTGACATATTATAAGAATGTCTAATCTGTAATTTGATGCCTTTTGGAGATTTTTCCATCTTTCCTTGGCTTCTTTTTGCACATTAATACACATTTTTTAGCTGGGGTGCCCAAACTTTCGATCCCCACTGTAACAGAGGTACGCCAGAATGGTGAAGTGGGCGCAGGTTCAGAATGTCCCTCCTAATGCAACTACTGAAGACACAGTGTGTATGACATGGGACACCACGTTTTCAGAGGAACTCTTTATTTTTACCATACACAGTGTTAGCTCATCCCTAAGTCGAGGAACTGCCTTAATGTCAGATGTTTCACATAACTCATTGACGGATGAGCTCAAGGATAAGTGAGAGGGCTTTGGGGGGGGGCAGAGTGAAATTTCTCTTTTTCCAAGTACGTAAAATTCCTCTATAAGAGCTCATTCTCCTAAGTGCAGAGCCCCACTCCCACTGGCCACAGTCCAGCTCCCTATAAAGTCTGAAGGACAGTAATCTGGCACTTTGCTTAAAAAAGTTTGGAGAGCCCTGTTTTGGAAGCAAGCAAAGTAGCAAATGATGTAAATCTGGAACTCTGCAGAAAAAAGTAGAGTTTAATATCCCTTCAATTTTTTTATTCTTTTATCAAAAATTATATTTGCAAGAATAGTAAGAAGACACAGGTGGATTGCTGATTGCTATGAACTTTACATACTTATGACCAATGTTATTTTTTACTGTGCCTGCAATTCTCTTGCAAACAAGATTGTAACAATAAAATAGAAAATTAGTTATGACTGTGTTTCCCAAATGCACCAAACTATCCTATTCAATTTTCTACACAGAAATTCCATCTTGGAAATCTGCCATCTTAATAAAAGTAAAAGAAACCACCTGTTTTATTTACATGTAATTTCCATATATCGTGACTTCATTAGGCAGAACACACGGCACTCTATGGAAGTAATAACTGTGACATAATTCTGCTGGCTAGATCATTTAATAAAGCTCTTCTCTACCAGCTGGAAAATGTCATAAAAGTAAAAATTAAATTTTATGAACTTAAGCAGCCTTCACGTCAGCTTTCATACCCATGGCAGGTCAGGAATGAGAAGAATATCTAAACACCTAAAAAATTAAATTCTTTATAAAAGTACTCCAGTCATCAAAGCATTTGAAGTTTAACGGTTCCATTAAAATAACGACATTCTGAATGGCTTCCCTTCAAATGTTGGAACTTTCCAAAAACTAGGTCTTAACGTTGAAAACCCTGAGGAATCGTTATTACGTGCAGATCTTGTGAATTAGACATAATAAAACAGAAGCTGGTTCAATGAATATAAAGAGCTTACTATATAAGTGGCAATAGCAGGACCAGTCAATCCATACAGACTGTGAGCTGTTTGCTTGTTGGAGCTACACATCCCCCTTCTGAGACCAGAGACCAAAGGTTCCCCTTACTAACCAAACACAAGGCAAAAAAAAAACGAGACATTTACCATCTTGTAACCAACTTCACAAGGATTTCCTCATTCAGAAATCATTTCCGTTACTTCCATTTTATTATTAGTCTACCACACGAGTAGCAGGACTCTCAGGAAGCAGAGCGTTGGGGTAAGCATGGGGGAGTAGACAGTTACTATTAACTTTACTTCCATGAAATTATCATTGACACATTAATGACCCTTGTTAGAAATATTAACATGCCTGAAAGCCGGTGGGCTGTCGGAGAATATTGTGTTAAAATTAGAAGAACATAATGTATGGACTCAGTAGAAAAATCTGTCTGAAGGTTCTAACATTTTAGTGTAATATATGAAAGAAAATAGCAAATAATGAGATTTTGGGGTCATAGAACTTTTTTAAAGTCAATATTTATATTTTTATAAAAGTTAGTCCGGCTAAAAAAAAAAGACACAAGCCCATGTAGTTAAAGCAGTAGAAAAAGAAATGAATAAACAAATAGAAAACCTCCATATAAAGAGCCCTATACCCACAGATGATCCAGAGGAAGGAAAACTATTTTATTTTTTGTGTTAAAAAAACTTTATGTACAAAAAAAAAGTCATAAACACAGTGGGCAATAGTTTTTCCCTTTTAAGATACATATATCACTCATTTATTTTGATCAGTCACAACCAAGAAATGTATGCTACCACGTGATCCAGGTACCTCTCCCTCTATATATAAATATACTGTATACACAGTATATATATTACTTTTTATGATCTCTATATAATGGAGTATATGTATTATTATTATTATTATACAGGATTTATATAGCGCCAACAGTTTGCTCAGCACTTTACAATGTAACGGGAGACAATACAGCAACAATACAGTTCAATACAAGAGGGATAGGAGCAGGGGCAGACTGACAACTCATGGGGCCCCCAGGCAATAGGGATAGTGGGGCCCCTGTGTCCTTGCCCAAACTCAAAAAAGCCTATGAAAAAGGTGCCAGGGGCATCTTATGGGGCCCCCTACTGACCCTGTGCCCTTGGGCAGTGCCCGAGTTTCCATATGGTCAGTCTGCCCCTGGATAGGAGGGCCCTGCTCCTTGGAGCTTACAATCTAGGAGGGAGGGGCTAGTGGTACAAAAGGTAGTAACTGTGGGGGATGGACTGGTTGGAAGAGTAGAAGATTCCAGTATTAGCTGAGGGCAGGATATGTATTGCTTTATACATATTTTTGCTGACATTTTATATATTAAAGCTTGTCTTTTATGCTTGATCTCATTTTTATAATTTATGTGGAGGCTCAGAGAGCTACTTGTATAATGTATACTATTATTATTATTATTATTATTATTATGTTACCTTTTTTTTACATATTGAAGATAGGCTATTCTTCTGACTATCAAGTGAACTTGTATATTATTATTATGATTTATTACATGAATTGCATAATCACTACAAGACATATCATGTAGACAAACACACATACATATTTTATACTGTATAGAATTTTTATACATATTTTTTGTTTCTCAGCATTTTATGCACCATCCTGAGGAAGTGGCCAGTGCCACGAAACGTGTTGATAGTGTTTTGTACTATTCTATGAGCAATAGATATTGAATGTATGAAGAATCTACTTTCAGCTTCTCCATCACATTTGGGCACATCTGCTGAAACCACTTTCCCATTTTGGGGCTCAAAGACCTCTTAATGTATATATTATTATTATTATTATTATTATTATTATACAGGATTTATATAGCACCAACAGTTTGACAACATGAGGGCAGACAGTACAGTTACAATACAATTAAATACAGGTGGAATCAGATGGCCCTGCTCCTCAGAGCTTACAATCTCAAAGACATCAGTCAGCCAAAACATTATGACCACCCACCATAACCTGTCAAGGCTTGGACTTCACTAGGCCTCTGAGGATATGCTCCGGTATCTTGCACTAAGCCATCAGTAGCAGATCCTTTAAGTCTTGTAAGTTGCGAGGTACGGCCTCCAGGGGTGTATTTACCACAAGACAACCAAGGCATTTGCCTAGGGTGGCATTTTTTAGGGGGGCAGCACTGCTCCCCAGAAGAAGAGACATATGTGGCATGGGGACCAGGAGGGTTCTGAGAAAGGCTACGGGCTGCTTGATGGTGGAAGCAGAAGCCCGACTGTCATTCCTGGGGATGCCCAGAGCTGTGAAGGTTAGCGTCTTTGTCCCTGTCGCTGGCGGGGGGTGGGTATTAGTGGAAGGCTCTCTCAGATAGGGGTGTTTTTGGTCACTGTCAGGCTCACATATGGGGGGGGGGGGTCTGGTGTTGGTCGGTGTCAGGCTCTCTCCGCAGTGGAGGGGGGGCATCCGATTTTTGTGTTGCCTAGGGAAGCACAAAATCTAAATACACCACTGAGGGCCTTGATGGATCTGACTTGTTTTTCTAGTACAATCCACTCAGCTCTACGCGTTTCTGGGATGAACTACTTCCTTCGTCAAGAGAAAAGGATCGAGGAATATTTTCTTTAGATAATAAAAATGAATCAGTATACAATAACAATACCACAATATACATCCATACCAATCATCAGTGTTTGGTTCTGGAAATCTTACTTAACTATATCACCTTAGAACAGGGGTCCTCAAAATTTTTAAACAGGGGGAGAGTTCACTGTCCCTCAGACCATGTGAGGGCCAGACTATAGTTTAAAAAAAAAACTATGAACAAATGCGGACACAGTACAGGAGATAACCAGAGACTGGGACATAGTACAGGAGATGACCAGAGACTGCGGACATAGTACAGGAGATGACCAGAGACTGCGGACACAGTACAGGAGATGACCAGAGACTGGGACATAGTACAGGAGATGACCAGAGACTGTGGACATACTACAGGAGATGACCAGAGACTGCAGACATACTACAGGAGATGACCAGAGACTGCGGACACGGTACAGGAGATGACCAGAGACTGCGGACACGGTACAGGAGATGACCAGAGACTGCGGACACGGTACAGGAGATGACCAGAGACTGCGGACACGGTACAGCGGATGACCAGAGACTGCGGACACAGTACAGGGGATGACCAGAGACTGCGGACACAGTACAGGAGATGACCAGAGACTGCGGACACAGTACAGGAGATGACCAGAGACTGCGGACACAGTACAGGAGATGACCAGAGACTGCGGACACAGTACAGGAGATGACCAGAGACTGCGGACACAGTACAGGAGATGACCAGAGACTGCGGACACAGTACAGGAGATGACCAGAGACTGCAGGACACAGTACAGGAGATGACCAGAGACTGCGGACACAGTACAGGAGATGACCAGAGACTGCGGACACAGTACAGGAGATGACCAGAGACTGCGGACTTAGTACAGGAGATGACCAGAGACTGTGGACTTAGTACAGGAGATGACCAGAGACTGCGGACTTAGTACATGAGATGACCAGAGACTGCGGACATACAATGGCGGCAGGAATACTGGGCCGGCCGCTCCATAAGATGCACAGACATTTATCCCAAGTGTTTCTTATGGAGCGAAATATACGGTAAATGCAGGACACCTTGTTGGGTCAGATCTGTGTACAATGTAAAGAGAGAGAGGGGGGGAGAGAGGAAGGGGAGAGAGAGAGGAGAGAGGGGGGGAAAGAGAGAGGGAGGAGATCGATCATCTATTGCACTTATCTAGGGTCCGTGGCCATGATACCCGACATGCAGCGATGGAGTCTCCTCTCTTGCTCCCCCTCTTCATGGTCAGCTCTAGGCTCCACCCTCCGGCCGTGACGGTTGCATGCACTGATCAGAATAGATGGCTGGCTGGCTGCAGAGAGGCCAGGTGAGTGGTGCGGGTTCATAAGCCGAACCCACCTTCCCCTGTTCTAGAATTTCTGATCCCGCCCTCCTGCCTCCCGCCCGAGCCCTGCCGAGCTCTCCCGACCTGCCAAACCCTAGTCCCTTGCCTCGCGGCACATACGCCCCTGCCCGCCGGGCCGGATAAATGTCCTCGGCGGGCCGCATGTGGCCCACGGGCCGTAGTTTGAGAACCTCTGCCTTACAATATAAATGCACTGACATCACATCGACAGGGAGAGGGGCTGGACTGCAGGGAAAACCTGGGGGTGCTGTTTATAACAACCTATATTTTATTTTCTATTTTCTTTCATGTGCTAAAGTAATTTTGGTTAATTCCAAAATCTGTTTTTCTGAGAGAGAAGGACAGTTGATAATAAACTCTAACTAGTAGTGTAGAAATGTTTGTGTTATGCTTGCATAGGCTTTTGAAGCACCCATTGTCCTGAGATGGGTTTAATTGAGGTTCACTCTTTTTCTTGCAGTCAAGGGGTGTCTGCAAGGGGTGTCTGCACGATGGCTGTTTTCCAGGAAAGATGACTTCATCCCATTGCACTGCATATCTTGTTATCTTCTTGTTATATGAACTGCACTTATTACTTATGTTATTCCTGGGGTCTTTATAATGAGTAAGGTATCGGTAGGAAGAGGCCACAGTGTCTGTACAATACCCAAAGAACAAACATATATTGGACTGTTTGGGGTCAATTCACTAAGAGTTAAACGACTGAAAAAATGCAGCAAAATAATGCATGCGCTAAATCTTTTGCAAATGTGCAATTTACTATTTTGTGGTAAATAACTCTAGCGATAAAATATTGTTTTTGCGGTAATTACCACAAATTGTCATGTGGTAATTTATCGCACGGTAGCTGGTTGTTAAGGAAACCGGCCGCCGCGACCTTAGCGACAGATGACTCATCAGCTGTCAGTGGGGTTTCCCGCTGACAGCTGAATGTAAACAAAACATGCTAGCAATTAATAATTATGAAAAAAAAACAGCGTTGGGGTCCCCCCCATCCTTACCAGGCCCTTCAGGTCTGGTATGTATTTCAAGGAAAACCCCATGCCAAAATTAAAAAAAAAATGGTCCTTAGGTCTGGTATTGATTTTAGGGGACCGCATGCCCTTTTTTTGAAAACATTTTGGCATGGGGTCCATCTAAAAATCTATACCAGATCGAAAGAGCATGGTATGGATTGGGGGGGGGGGATCCCCATGCTGCATCTGGAAAAATACTGACACATATTTAATTCTGCATTAAGTACTGCATAATCTTTATTTTTTATTTATTTTTTGTGAATTGGACATTTTTTTACCGCAGTGACCTTTGTCATATAATAAAATTACAACCAAATTATATCTGGAAATGAGTAACTAGAACAAGGGAAAACAACTTTCAAGACATATAAATGTGAACTTACAGTAACACTTTTCAGCATTAGTTTAGAGAATTAACCCTTTTATGACAATTACACATATATTCATTGCTGTCTTGTTATGGGGTGCACTCTATCAGCACCCACAGAACTGTCACTGAGTTGTCGCAGACAGCTCATGGTCCGTTGACAAAGATTGGAAGTCAGTAGGGCAGGTTCCCAATGATGTCGGCACTGTGCAACCAATCACAGTGCTACATAATAAGGAGCCCCTCCTACCAGCCTTGGGCATCACAGCCTATTTAAAGCACTGGCTCCCACCGGCATACATGGTTAAAATGTATTTAATGCCCAAACTATTTTATTTGTATCAGATAGAATAGAAAATGGTTAGAATACCTGTAAAGTTTTTTTTTGCTGTCCCTGGAAGTCACCCTTTGTTTGTCCTAGTGACCATTGTCATGGAGACTGAAAGTGTTCAATCAGCAACAGCTTAAGAGGGGATCCTCTCAATTTCTGTTGTGTCTTTGGGACAGGAATTCAGGGTAATTCCCCCAATGGAATACAGATAGCAAAAAAACTGACATAGTTTTTAACCATACCCCATTCTACAAAAAAAAGGTCTTTAATTACAATTTAAATTAATATAGTGTTGCTGATCAGTTATGACAACACAACCATGATTTAACCATTTGACGAATGCCCAATAGCAAATATACTGCTACAGGGTGGCTGCGCTATGCAGAATCACGTATATAAACATGATTCTGTACTTCCTGGTCACGGGTGCTTATGTATGCAGCCACATGGTGGAGGTTCACTGATGTTTTGGGGTTGCTTTGCTGCTTCAGGCACTGGATGTCTTGAAGGTGTGCATGAAATTCTGAAATCTGAAGACCACCAAAGAATTCTGGGGTGCAATGTGGGGCCCAGTGTCAGAAAGTTGGGTCTCCGTCAGAGGTCATGGGTCTTACTGCAGGACAATGACCGAAAGCAAGCATCAAAAAGCCCCCAGAAATGGTTTCAAACAAAGTGCTGGAGAGGACTGAACTGGCCAGCAACGAGTCCAGATCTCAATCCCATTGAGATCCTGTGAAGAGATCTCAAAACAGCAGTTGAGAAAAGGATACCTTACAATCTGGGAGACCTGGAACAGTTGGCAAAAAAAGAGTGGTCCAAAATTCCAAGAGAGGTGGAAGAAACACGTTGATTTCAGTTATTTTTTCCAAGGGTTGTGTTACCAAATATTACATTAAGGGTTCCAATAATTTTGTCCAGTCTATATCTGGGGTTTTGCATGGAATGTGTTAGATTTGTGTTTTTTTCTCAACAAACAAAAGCAATAAACACGAGAATGCCTAAACATTTGTAATTGCAACAGTTTTCTGGACAAAGTGGTGCATTATCTGACAGAAATGCAGGGGTGCCAATATTTTTTGGCCATGACTGGTATATACCATAGTTTGTAGATGCTATAACTTCTGCACAAACCAAGCAGTATACCGTTTGTTTTTTTTACCAAAAATATGTAGCAGAATATATATTGACCTAAATTTGTGAAGCAATTTGGTTTTCTAAATGTTTTATTGGATATGTTTTATAGCAGTAAGTAAAAAAATATAGTTTTTTTTTTTTTCAAAGTTTTTCATTCTTTTTTTGTTTTTAGCGCAAAAAATAAAAACCCAGAGGTGATCAAATACCATCAAAAGAAAGCTCTATTTGTGGGAGAAAATTCATACATTTTATTTATGTACAGCATTTCATGATAGCTCAATTGTCATTTAAAATAATGCAATGCTGTATCACAAAATAATGGCCTGGTCAGGAAGGTAGAATAAACTTTCTGGAGGTCAAGAGGTTAAAAAATAAACAGATTTGTTTGTATGTAAGCACAATTGTTACCATCTAGAACAGCCATTCTCAACCTTTTCAACACAGAGGAACCCTTGAAATAATTTTCCGGTCTCAGGGAACCCCTGCTAAAATTTATATTTACAACTCATGATATATTAGTGTGATGGTCAGTGGGAAGAATGCTCCTTACATCTGTGGTCATTGGAAAGAATTACCCCCTTATAGATAGCTAAAAAGATCAATGGTGTCAGTGGGAACTTATCTGAGAGCCAGAAATTGTTAATTGCTCAAGGAACCCCTGGCAACCTCTGGAGGAACCCTAGGGTTCCATGGAATCCTGGTTGAGAAACCCTGATCTAGAGGTTAAAATAATATTAACCAGTCATCATTTAAAATATAACTAAAGGCAAAACTGTATTTTTTTCCTTACATAGTGGAGATGGAATAGAACCCCTGTCATGTTGTTATTGCTGGGTGAGCCCCCAGTAGGGAGATTCATCCTCTCTATTTGTCCTGTTTACCATTATCATCAAAAGTGGAAGTAAAACAAACCCTACATTTTGGGTTGTCTCCAGAAAAGTAATAGAGGGGAAATTGTCCAATGGAGACACTAGTTCTGGTGACCAAGGGGGTCCCTCTTAATTAGCAGAGATTTTCTCACTTCCTGTTTGGCTATGGGACAGGAAGTAAAGGTAACCTTTCCACAACAGGACACAGATGGCAAAAAAATAAACTGACAGGTTTTGACTCTCCCTCACGCTATCCAGACCTGCGACTTGAGTTGGAATCTCATATTAAACAGGTTTCTTTTTTTGCCTAGAACATGTGCATTACAATTTTTCCCCAATGAAAACCTCATTCACAGTAGTTTCATTTGTTTGAAAAATTTAACTTTTTGATCCTTCCAATTTTCTCATCACCACAGTTGAAAATGATCATTAGTTTGACCCCACTAACCATTAGACATTTGAAAAAAAAAAAAACAAAATGTTGAATTAAGTTCTACTGGTGTAGGGCCAGCTTTAGAATGGCCAAAGAAAGGCAGATGTCTACGTACTCTTGAGATTAAGCATATCCTCTTCAAGTCTATCTAGAAGTTCAGTAAGCAATGTGTAATAATGACAACCCCCCAGGATAGCCCTACATGGCCCAAAGTACCTGGAAGTTTCTGTGCTCTCAGTTTGAATTATATATCATATAAAGGATATTCTAGTCAGCAGGCACCATTATGATGTTTTGTCCCTTGTTAGATTGACTGGCCAGCCCTCAGTAACCACACCTGGCCACCAAGAGACTATACTGACTACTAATTAATAATCTTTCATGCAGGTTACGTCAGCTTCCGCCAACAATACCCAGAGCTGTTTGAAAACCTGACCCCAGAGGCAGTACGAAGCACAATAGAAGCTGGATATCCAGGAATTCTGACCAGTAGAGACAAGAATGGAAGAGTCATTCTCCTTTTTAACATTGAGAACTGGGACTATGAGGAGATCACCTTCGATGAGGTATGGCTTAGCCTGGTCCTGCATGATTATAAATGATAGCAAAAAAGGGAAAATTAATTACTAATTTTAGAAACCTAAAGCTAAACTCTGGGATAAGGAAATACTGTCTAAATATAAGAGACATGTGTATGAATAACGTAATCTTGGAGTACTTTGTGTATTTCTACAAGATCTGTGCAGAAATCCAGTGAGAAACTTTACCTCTGTGCTGGAGCTTCCTGTAATGAAGACCAATAACTGCTGCTCCCTCTTCTTGTACAGGGTGGCTGGTCTAGTCTCCCCCACTGTAGTTTTCTGCAGGGTGGCTGGTCTAGTCTCCCCCGCTGTAGTTTTCTGCAGGGTGGCTGGTCTAGTCTCCCCCGCTGTAGTTTTCTGCAGGGTGGCTGGTCTAGTCTCCCCCGCTGTAGTTTTCTGCAGGGTGGCTGGTCTAGTCTCCCCCGCTGTAGTTTTCTGCAGGGTGGCTGGTCTAGTTTCCCCCGCTGTAGTTTTCTGCAGGGTGGCTGGTCTAGTCTCCCCCGCTGTAGTTTTCTGCAGGGTGGCTGGTCTAGTTTCCCCCGCTGTAGTTTTCTGCAGGGTGGCTGGTCTAGTCTCCCCCGCTGTAGTTTTCTGCAGGGTGGCTGGTCTAGTCTCCCCCGCTGTAGTTTTCTGCAGGCAGTCTTTAGTGGGTGGAGCCTGCTGGGTCTCCCCCCTAGCCCTGCTCTCAGCACAGGCTATGATGTCACTACTACTTTATAGGGTAATCTCTGGGTTTACAAGAGTATTTGGTGCAAACAAAGTGGATTTACATCCTATTGTCTATTGTAAAATATATTTAAACCCCTTCACGCCTAAGGGTAAAACAAATCTTAATGCCTAAGGAAAATTTTACAACTTTGACATGTGTTAGTAAAACCGTACATATCATCACAACTACTTTGTACATCCAGGTGACTTATACCGCGTTTTTTTTTCTTCAGGCCAATTTGGGCTTTAATTTGCTGGCAAATGGTAATGGATATCTCCTGATTTTTTTCTTATTATCAGAGAAAAACAGGCCCAAAATAGTAAAAAAAAAAAAAAAATTTTTTAAATGTAGCTGTGTGTTTCTTGTTACTACCATAACCTTCCAGCAAAGAAAAACCCCAAATAAATTCTACAGCTCTTGACGATCGCAGTGATACCACATATGTGTATGTTATGTGTTGTTTGTACCTGTAGTACAGCCCAGAAACAATAGTGTGCATTTTGCTTTTGTTTTGTCCTACCTAAATACACTGACACTGATACCAATTAAAAAGAGAAAAAAATCCTGACCTTTGACCCTGACCATGACCCAAACACTAACCCCGGCACTGAACTAGATCAAACCTTGATCTAGGTATTTTTGTTTGTTTATTTATTTATTTTTTAATATTCTTTTATTTATGTACACACAGTTGTTTTTTTCTTTTCTGCAAGGAGAGAGAGAGAGGGAGATACAATGTATCTCTCTCCTCCATTCAGAGAGAACAAAAAAGCAAGAGGCGGGCTTCACAGTGACTGATCACTGTGATAGCCAATCAGAGGCTATCACAGCAATCATGTGACCCGGAATCGGGAGTTCTGGGTCCCAGTTGTTAGAACGGGACCTGGGACTCACATTGACACCCTGGTCTTTGTGCTGGAAGCACTCCATGCGGCGCTCTCCAAGCACAAAGACAGGTATGCAAATATGTGGCCCCACGGAAAAAAGCCCAGTTCTGTGAGGCCACATATTTGTGTGACGTTGATGCCAAGGGGTTAAGTATACATTTTTTGAAAAAGGAGTTCACCTTTAAAGTAGAACTAAAAGCATTTATTTATTTATTTATTTTGGATAGAATAAGAAAGGGTTTTAACCCCTGACTTTTGTTGTCAGCTGTGTCCCATAGAGAAGATTTCCCTTCACTTTCCATAGTCAAAACAGGAAGCCAGAGTAAATCTCTCCAAAATGAGAGAATCCTGGGGTGTCACCAGGACTAGTGTCTCCATTGGAAGATTTTCCCCCATTGCTGTTCTGGTGTCAGCCCAAAATTTGAGATTTTCTTTTAACTTCACTGATAATAGTAATCACAAATAAACAAAGGATTTCCCAGCACCCCTACCAGTCAGCCTGCAAAACAACCAAATTGACCCTGTCTAACAATTCACATTAAAACAGAGGGCTTTGTTTGCACACATTTGCAAGTGTATGTGTAAGCAGCAGTGCCAAAATCAAGGCTCCTCTGTGTACTGCGGTCTTAACTCTATAATTTTTAGAGTCTCTCAAGCTGGAGCACATATAGCAGTGGATAGAATAAGGACAGGTGTGTCTGGAGGGAGCCCAATCCTCCTTAACCTCCCTAACGGTATTCCCGAGTGTAGCTCGGGGTAAAATTTCTATACCAAAAGCGGTAACCCCGAGCTACACTCGGGCTTACCATGCAGCGCTGTATAGGGAGTCCCTGCAGCACTTACCTTGTCCTTGGCTCCCGCGATGTGTCCCCTGCAGCGTCCCCGGCCATCTCCTCCGTCTGATGCCGGCATCCGCCTCCTGTGTTCCAGTCCCCGTGACGTCGGGACGTACGGGCGCCGGTGGCGGCGGGAAATTTGAAAATTTGAAAAAAATGTCATTTTTTGCAAAACGATTTTACATAGTAAAACATTGCTGTTTCAACCCATTTCACATACATTTTGTCCCTAGTGCTCTGTCCTGTCCCCTGTCTGCATTTTGAATGTTCTTTCTGCCTGGAAACTTAGAAAAGTCCATGGCGTCCAAAAAGCGTCCCTTTACGTCAAAAGCGGGTTTAGACCATCTAGAGAACAGCGATAGTAAATCAGAACCACTTGCAGAATTGAGTGATAATGATTCGTGGAGAAATTCGTCATCAGACACTGAAAACAATTTTGCGACTTTGCTCAGTGATGTGCGAACTTGGCGCTCTATTTCAAATTTCAGTGTTTTTGGTTTGATTATATTATTGAATTAAATATATGATTTAGAATCTTGTTCAGACAGATTTCAGTGAGTTATTCCTAAAACTTACAGCCTACAATAAAAAAACTACATATTTCCATGCAAAATAATGGTACCGCTTTTCAGCACCAAAAATATGAAATAATCATACCGCCAGGGAGGTTAAAGGCACAGAGATGCACGTGACACCCAGCATGTGCACAATGGCAGCTGAAGGCATCCAGTGTGTCCCTGTGCCTGATTCAACCAACTGTACCAAAAACTGCCAATCACCCCAACCTTTACCTAGCTTTTGTTGAAAGGTGCACATGAAAGGACAACGCACATCAAAAGCAAACAAAAGATTTCCCAGCACACTTACCAGCCAGCCTGCAAGACAACCATATTGACCCTGTCTAGCAATTCACATTAAAAACAGAGGATTTTGTTTGCACACATTTGCAAATATATGTATAAGCCACAGTGCCTACGTCAAGGCTCCTCTGTACTGCAGTCCTAACTACAATTTTCAGAGTCTCCCAAGTAGGAGCACATAAAGCAGTGGATAGGTTAAGGGCAGGTGTCCTGGAAGGGACCCTATCCCTCCTTAAAGGCACAGGGACGCATGTGATGCCCAGCAAGAGCACAATGGCAGCTGAAGGCATCCAGTGCGTCCCGGCACCAAAGTCAACCAACTGTACAAAAAATGGCAACCATCCCAATCTATGTATAAGAAATTGCATCTAGTTGATTAAAGCCAGTCTGTAGCCACTCCAATAAAGTTATATTATTTTCTTTTGTGAAATGTACTTATGATCTGCATATTCCAAAGCTGTATTTAAAATTGCATTTTGGAGGTTGATGTTGTCATATATTCCTATACCAATCAGATGTCTCCCTGAGCAGGTCCTATTCCCTTAGTGGTTTTTAAAGAAATTTTATACATTTGGGTAGAGTGAGGAAAAGTAGAATAGAACTCCTACTTTTTTTCATCCCTGTCTGTATCTCCATTGAAGAGATTCCCTCACCAAACACTTTTTGTAATGTCCAAGCAAGAAATTAGGGAATACAAGTTTTGATGGACAAGATGACACAGGCTAGGGTTACCAGATTTTAACAATAAAATCCAGTGATCCCCTTCTGAGAGGCAGAGGGGGACATGAACTCAGGGTCGCCAGGGGTATCAGTCACAGGCGACTAACATTAGCCAGGGAAAGTGTAGGGGGTGTAGGGAAGTGTAGGGAGGGATTGTATCCCCCTGATGAAGCCACATGACCCGGTGGCATAAAGCATAGGGGAAGGGCTCTGACGTCACAACGCATTCAGGATCTAACGGCGAATACAGGCAGTGTGCAGAGTACACATAGAGGATTGTTAAAGAGTTGAAAAAGGATAAGGCACTATGTTCTTCTTCTTTTTTTTTTGCAATATTAATATGGAGAATTAAAGAGTGGAGGAAAAGGAAATGGTAGACCCCTGGAGGAGAGAGGGAGAAATCCATCCATCCTAATCCAGCACAGGGATCAGCTAACCTGAGAGACCCCAGGTGGAAAAATAGAAATATTATAAATTTAGAATTTAGTAATCCTGGAAGGATATCTACCACTGGAAAAGATCTTATCTGTCCATTAAAGGACAAAAAGCTGTTTCAGCCTAATTTTCAGTTAGGCTTAAAGTGAGGTGAGCGCGTAAGAAAATCATATCCAGTCCATTCGATTTTGTTGATTTTTTTTTAGTTTTTCATGAAGCAGACACAGTTTTGGATTTATTATTTTCACTTTAATATTTTTTGTGAATTCTGGACAATTTTGGTTGATTTTATTTATATATATATATATATATATATATATATATATATTAATATTTTATTTTCACAAGCTGATATATATTTCACTTTTATATATTAGTTTGGTTTTTGGATCACATGTTTTTATTTAACAACTGGCATATTATCATATTGATTAATTTAGTGGAGCGCGGAACATATTAATTATTTTAAATTAGTTATATGCACTATTATATGAGTAAGTGTTCAGTGTCAGTGAACCACGTATGTGTTAATTTAACTTAATTGAATAATTATTGAGGCACTTTAATATTCACCATAGTAGATCGCAAGCACCATTAAAAATTTTAGATGATTTGCATGGCTGTGCCCTCTATCTAAAATTGAGAAATAACCACCTTGTTTTCCAGATATGTGATAGAAGTGAAACATGGATGTAGGTAGGTGCAGTCTCTTTTCTCAGCAGGTGGCGCTCAACTGCACAGACACTGCAGCGTAAGATGAAGTCAAGAGGTTTTTTTTTTTTTGCCTTGTTCTAGATCAGCTGTGGGTATAGTGTACAGAATATAGGGGTTTTCTATTTGTGTCTGTCTTTTTTTTTTTATCTCTGTTGGTTGAAGGCAGCACAGTGGCTAAATGGTTAGCACTTCCGCCTGGCAGTACTAGGGTCATTGGTTTGAATCCCAACCACGACACCACCTGCCTGGAGTTTGCATGTTCTCCCTGTGCCTGCATGGGTTTCCTCCAGTTTCCTCCAACACTCCAAAGACATGCTGGTAGGTTAATTGGCTCCTGTCTAAATTGGCCCTAGTATGTATGAATGTGAGTTAGGGACCTTAGATTGTACACCCCTTGAGGGTTAGGGACTGATGTGAATGTACAATATATAAGTAAAGTGCTGCGTAAATTGACAGCGCTATGTAAGTACCTGAAATAAATAAATAAAATAATAAATAAGTGTTACTAAACCCAGGACCCTTCATTTACTCTATCTGGTCTACCTCAGTACACAGAACATGGAAATATATAATTATTTCAGTAAATATAAACTGCTAAATACCTTTTCTTATCAGCAGTTAGAGCAGTCTTGTGACTTCTATCAGTGTCCAGCATAGCACATGTTAAAGCGTGTAGGAGGAGTTTTCTTTCTGCTCTAGGAGGATGCAAAACTCCTGACCCCATCTGGACAGTGCTGTGCAGATCACATGCACTCTCCCCCAAGAAAAAAAAACCTTCTCTAGCAATACACACAAAACTGAGCATGTGCAGAGTGTCTCCACAGGATATGTCTTATCAGGAGATAAGAGGGAGATACTGGAAGAAGGGGAGGATCAGAGAAGTCAGGCTCAAACAGTATTTTTAAACAATGCAGAGGATTAACCCACAGTGAGTATAACAAGCATGCTTTACTGCATATACAGACTGATTTTACTGTTTTGGGTTTAGTAACACTAAGTATTCAACATATTAATCTATGGTTTCCTGGGTCAATGGGGAAGTGATCTGGTTGAATGCTGCCACCCCATGTGACTCTGGCAGCCATCTTGGGTCAGGCATAGTCTTTTTAGGACCCTGCCTCTCGGGCTTGGCGCACATTTTGCAAGTGGACAGGGTAGGTACAGGTTGTCTGTCAGGGAAAGTGAATAGTGGTAGGGAAAGGTTCCAGCTGAGTAGAGACAGAAGAGGGACACGCTATCCTTCTTAGGAATCTCTCTCCATTAGCCAGGCTGCATTCCACCCTTGGAGACAGATGTTTTCAATGCATCAGAACCTGCTCCACACTAAATTTTTGACACAGGACTATGAGTGTTCCCATCTGGGAGCCTTCCCACTGGAATGTTTGTACCTTTGAGCCATTCCTTCAATACAAGCTTGTTAATTGCAACTGGACTCGCTGCCACCATACTATGCTGCACCCACCCACACTCAGATATCTTCTGTTCTGAGAGGGCTCCACTATGCTTCAAATTGGTTCAATGGAGAGCTTCCTGGTTCCATATGGCCCACATCTCAATAACCTTTTTGCATATACTGTACTTTCTAGATATAGTTATGGCGTTCAAAGACAATTAATTTGTATGTATTTAGTTGGCTACTATGCAGAGACAAGTACTTTGTTTCAAATGTTCTACTGGATATTTTATACTCTGTTTGGATCTGTTTCAGATCTTACGCGCATACTGTATTATTCTGGAGCACCTACTGGAAAACGAAGAAACACAGATCAATGGCTTCTGTATCATAGAGAACTTCAAAGGATTCACAATGCAACAGGCTTCTGGCATTAAACCATATGAACTGAAAAAGATGGTGGACATGCTGCAGGTAAATTCACAATGAATACTATATTATTCGGTAGTGTGAAGTGTTTAAACAAAGCAGATAATGGCAACCAGCAACACCTTCAAATAAATCACATACAGCAACATTAAAGTAAACCTAGCACAAACTTTGGCAATTCAGACAGAGCATGTTATAAATAATGCACAAGGAAACGTTGTACTTGGTAAAAACTACTTTTAAAAAAAAAAATCAGAATATTCAGAAATACAGAAAGTTGAAATAATATGTAAAGGCTTTTAAAAATGTGCTAGACTCTGCCCTCCCCCTTAAACCTTCATATTGACCCTTTTATGAAATAGGTGCTTCACATTTAGGAGTGCTTGGGTCTGATTGAAACAGATTTACATTTAAAGAGAAACTTCAGCCTTATTTAAAAAACAATAAGGTCACCAGCTCTAAATACTGTAGCTGCTGAATTAGAAAAAATCAGGTACCAGTCCCCAGGACCGCCATCTTGGATTTGGGAATGGGCTGTAAATTCCTGAAGAATTGTAGCTAGCCTGACAATGTGGGAATGGACATGTAGCCTCTTGAACACATGTGCTGAGTCCCAGGAGGCTGTGGGCAGGGGATGGGCCCAAGTGGACATCATTCTTACCTAGGTGAGAATTGAAGACGTAGGAGTGGATAACTAGCAATAAAAAGGTACCCACTCGCTGTAAAAAAAAAAAATCAAAAGTGTTGTGTTATGGGTGGTGGTGGAGAAGAGGACTAGCAACACTTTTGAACAAAAGTCTGCTTCTAGTTCACCTGCTTGTAACCAGATTGTAGGGTTTGAAGTCAACACATATTTGTAATGCTATGGAAAGCTGACCATTCATGGGGAGAAGTATTAAATGGTCAAACTATACAGGATATTTTATGCCAGTCTCACTGTGTTTATATCCACAAAGGGTCACATTAGGAGACATAAGGTTACTGGCAGTAGTATTAGAAATCAGAATATTTTGATTGGCTGTCTATTGTTCTCCACTGTTTCCTCAGAGATACGCTGAAACCAGAGAGAGCAATAGAGTCTACCTGCCATAATGTCACGTATCTAGGTCGAGTTGACTAGAGGGTTTCCCTTACACCTTCTGTCCCATTTCCCCAGGAGTTGATGACAGGATATAACAGGGTACACAGTGGCATGGGTGCCTGTAGAAGATCCAGACCAGAAGATGCTCCGGGTATTGCAGGAGATACAGCAACTGCAGGACTGGTATCTATGCAGAAGGCAACTTAGGAGCTTGCAGATGCAGAATCTTGGAGCATAGTAAGGTAGGCAGGGTTGAGCAACAACTGAGAAGCAGAAGTGCAGAATCAGGAAACAGAAGCAGAGTCAAGGCCAAGCCAAGGTCAGTATCAGATGAGTGGAGAATGTACTGAATCAGCAGACAGAGGATAAGCTGGGTCACAATCAGGGGCAGACAAACTCATGGGGCCCCCGGGCAATAGGAGATCATGGGGCCCCTGTGTCCTTGCCCAAACTCAAAAAAGCCTATGAAAAAGGTACCAGGGGGATCTCATGGGGCCCCCTACTGACCCCGGGCCCTCGGGCAGTGCCCGAGTTTCCAAATGGTCAGTCCGCCCCTGGTCACAATAGAATATCAGGATCAAGCAGAATCAAGACGAAGCATGAACTACTTGGTCACTGGTCACAGAAGCTGACACCCACTCAGCGATCTTCTGAACTTCTGTACAGCTTTAAATAGTCCATTAGGCACCAAAACGTCAGTGTCCAACGTGTACGTTTGTCCATGCTCACACATCTATGGCTCTCACTCTGTGTGCGGGTGTAAGCTCATATGTTCGCTCATTGCTGTGAATACAATTCCCCTGACACGTAATCTGGGGCCATGACATGGTCTTTAGAAAGCACATGCTCTGACATGTACTAAAAAAAAAATGTGTGTGTGCTGGATCAAAGTGGGGTCACCTGAGTGTATAATTATTCAGGGATTAAACAAGTTTATGGCTCCTTTCACACTAATGGTAGTGTTTATTGCTCCACCCCCCAAAAGTGATCAAATGTGCATCACTTTTTAGAAGGTGGTGAAAGAAGGTTTGTTCAGGAAGCAATACTACCACCTCCTGATGCCTGTTTGTGTTTTTTTTTAATTGCTGAACAGCAATTTTACATTGTGAGACTGCATCTTAACTGCAAATCAAGAATTTGGCTTGCGGTTGCGGCGTGACGTGGCCCCATTCATTTACATGGAAGAGTCTGACAGGCGTGCGCCTGTCAAATCTGCATGTAGCATTAAAACTGCAACATCAAGATGCAAAGCATTGTGGTCGTGGTAGTGTGTACTCCTCTGAGCAGCACAATATCTGCTTGTAGGTGGGCGGTTGGGGTGGTAAGAAAAAAGTAGATCAACTGCTTGCTTTTCCCACCCCCTGGCGCCTGTGTATAAGGAGCCTATAGATCACATTTCATTCTGACATTCTGTTAAAATACTGACTGAGGCAGAGAGGCCCCCTTGAAATCTCACCAAATACTCACATATAGCAGCACTTTTGCCAGATAAGTAGAGGTCTGTCCTGATTCTTTTATTTATTTTTTTATTAAAGGTATTTATATAGTGTCAACAGTTTACAATGCGCTTTACATATTGTACATTCACATCATTCCCTGTCTTACAATCTAAGGTTTCTATCTCACACACATACGAGGTTTGACAATTTATTCCCCGGTTTGGTGGTGGCGTACCACTATGGTGGTGAGTCACACAGCAATTCGCACTTGAGCATGTTATAACGTGTTCTAACGTGTTCTAACTTGCAGTCTTCTGCATTGAAGACCAGTTGACTCCGTCTATACGGAGTAGAAGAAGAAAAAACACATGTGTGCATTGCACTGTTGGCAGAAAATGAGTGACAGGAATCTGGAACAGTGGATTAACATCAAATTTTGCTTGAAAATTGGCAGAAGTGCAAGTGAAACTTTGATTCTGTTACGGCGGGCTTATGGTGAATATTCCATGAAGAAATCAAGTGTTTTTGAAAGGCATAGGTGGTTTAAGGAGAGACAGGGAGATGTCCACGATGTGGTCACAAAGTGGTCAGCCAGAAACGCGAAGGATGGATACAAATGTGGACAGAGTGAGGACCCTTGTATGTTGAGAGTGAGGACCCTTGTAGGTTGAGAGTAAGGACCCTTGTATGTTGAGAGAGAGGACCCTTGTATGTTCAGAGTGAGGACCCTTGTATGTTCAGAGTGAGGACCCTTGTATGTTAAGAGTGAGGACCCTTGTATGTTCAGAGTGAGGACCCTTATGTTAAGAGTGAGGACCCTTGTATGTTCAGAGTGAGGACCCTTGTATGTTCAGAGTGAGGACCCTTGTATGTTCAGAGTGAGGATCCTTGTATGTTGAGAGTGAGGACCCTTGTATGTTGAGAGTGAGGATCCTTGTATGTTGAGAGTGAGGACCCTCGTATGTTCAAAGTGAGGACCCTTGTATGTTCAAAGTGAGGACCCTTGTATGTTCAGAGTGAGGACTCTTGTATGTTCAGAGTGAGGATCCTTGTATGTTGAGAGTGAGGACCCTTGTATGTTCAGAGTGAGGACCCTTGTATGTTCAGAGTGAGGACCCTTGTATGTTCAGAGTGAGGACCCTTGTATGTTCAGAGTGAGGACCCTTGTATGTTAAGAGTGAGGATCCTTGTATGTTCAGAGTGAGGACCCTTGTATGTTCAGAGTGAGGATCCTTGTATGTTGAGAGTGAGGACCCTTGTATGTTGAGAGTGAGGACCCTCGTATGTTCAAAGTGAGGACCCTTGTATGTTCAAAGTGAGGACCCTTGTATGTTCAAAGTGAGGACTCTTGTATGTTCAGAGTGAGGATCCTTGTATGTTGAGAGTGAGGACCCTTGTATGTTCAGAGTGAGGACCCTTGTATGTTCACAGTGAGGACCCTTGTATGTTCACAGTGAGGACCCTTGTATGTTCAGAGTGAGGATCCTTGTATGTTCAGAGTGAGGACCGTTGTATGTTGAGAGTGAGGACCCTTGTATGTTAAGAGTGAGGATCCTTGTATGTTCAGAGTGAGGATCCTTGTATGTTCAGAGTGAGGACCCTTGTATGTTCACAGTGAGGACCCTTGTATGTTGAGAGTGAGGACCCTTGTATGTTCAGAGTGAGGATCCTTGTATGTTGAGAGTGAGGACCCTTGTATGTTGAGAGTGAGGACCCTTGTATGTTCAGAGTGAGGACCCTTGTATGTTCAGAGTGAGGACCCTTGTATGTTCAGAGTGAGGACCCTTGTATGTTCAGAGTGAGGACCCTTGTATGTTGAGAGTGAGGACCCTTGTATGTTGAGAGTGAGGACCCTTGTATGTTGAGAGTGAGGACCCTTGTATGTTCAGAGTGAGGACCCTTGTATGTTCAGAGTGAGGACCCTTGTATGTTCAGATTGAAGTTTGAGTATCAGAATGATGGCAGAAGAATTGAACATGAACAAGGAAACAGTTAGGCAGACAGAGGATTTGGGAATGAGAAAGATATTAGCAAAGATGCTGCTTTTAATCTTGACAGATCAGAAAGAATGTCCTCTTCAAGTTTTATCCAGTCTTTTGAAGAATGAAGAATACAGAGGTGTTTGATAGGGTTATCACCAGGGGCGGACTGACAACTCATGGGGCCCCCGGGCAATAGGGGATCATGGGGCCCCTGTGTCCTTGCCCAAACTCAAAAAAGCCTATGAAAAAGGTACCAGGGGCATCTCATGGGGCCCCCTACTGACCCCGGGCCCTCGGGCAGTGCCCGAGTTTCCAAATGGTCAGTCCGTCCCTGGTTATCACTGGTCCAGTCCAGGAATTAAATGTTTCACATCTCATACTAGGGCCAGTTTAGACAGGAGCAAATTAACCTTCCAGCCTGTCACAGAAATGTAGGAAAAAACTGGAGAAACCAAAGAAAATCCATGCATGTACAATGTACACAGAGAATATCAAACTCCATGCAGGTAGTGGGCTGGTTGGAATTTAAACTGAGGACCCCAGTGCTGCATAGCACAAGTGCAAACCACTAAGCCATTGTGCACCACTGCTTTTTAATTATGAACACCTGTCACTATAGCCATGTTTCTTTCATACAAGTATGGCTTTGTTTCTAAGATCGGTATGCATTGTGGAACTTTATATTTTGTTCACATTTGTTACCAACAGGACTCCTTTCCTGCCAGGTTTAAAGCTGTTCATTTCATACACCAGCCCTGGTACTTCACTACCACCTACAATGTCGTCAAACCATTTCTGAAGAGTAAACTCCTTGAGAGGGTGAGTCAGTAAATAAGCAACTAAAAGTTTTCTTAGGATGGATGGCCGCTTCTGCATTATGTTACTACTGTACAGTGACTCAGTGACTGCATACATGGCTATTGTCAACATAATTTAAGATGAACAACACTAAGGTCATTAGGTTGACAGTATGTTCATGATTTCTTAGAAATTACAGAAGGCTTCTAGTGAAGGACCACTGATATTATATTCCCAAGATAATTCTGCTTTTATATGCATATACAAACCTTGAGAGATTAGAATTTCTGCTGAAGCTTCGCGGAAATGATTAATGTTATTTAGTCTAAAATTGGAAATAGCCAAAGGCAAGGCATGTTTGGTAGATTGAATTAAAATAGCAGTTCAGGAAAACTTTTTTTTTTTTAGTTTGAACCCCTATCAGGTCCTATTAACTGATACCTGCCGGGTTAGAAGTGTGGGGAAAGGAATACAGACAGCAATAACTAATAAAAAAACATATCTAGAATAGTGTGGAAGGGTTGGAACGTATAAAGCCAATGTTGTAGATTGTGGCCCCTTTTGTGGGCATCTGTTGGCACTTGGGATAGAAAGCGCATTTAATTTTTTCCAATTGGAGACACAGACAGCAAGCCTTGGACTTTTTTTTATCACTGATGTTTCCACATGCTACCTAGACTGACCTCTGTTTGCTATATAAGACAGTAAATCTAGCAAAATATTCCTATCGCACACGTTCTTGGAAATGGCTTATGACAGATGGCTGTCGTATCAAATGTTGGCTGGGAACCAGTATCAACATAATATATTGCCAGCACACCCATGGGTCTTCAAAATTGCGTCCAAAAACTTAATTAAAACGCTCACATTACGATAACAAATTGTGATGTTTCGGGGTCACACAGGACCCCCTCATCAGACATGTAATCATCATTACATGCCTGATGAAGGTGTCCTGCATGGCCCAGAGACGTCAGAATATTTTGTTGTGATGTGACCTCTTTATTAAAATTTTGGACACAATTTTGAAAATCCACGGAGTACTAGCAAAATATGCTTTATCTGATATCAGATAGGGGGTAATGGGATTTTGATAACTGAGCGGAAATTATTTCTGATTTTACCATGCACACAAAATAGCAGCTATAGCAGAAGTGCATGCGGCTCTGAAGGTTTTTACAAAATGATCATAAGAATAAGCTGATGTCAGCAAGACCATCAAGAATATGCCAAGTCTTTGTGAATACTATCTCAAACCATAAATTATAGCTCACATACCCTACTTATTACTAATTTGTTGGTCTTAGCTTGTTAGCTTATTTTATCTAAACTTCAGCTGTTGAGAAAAAATAATAAATGCACATTTCATTGCAGCTAAAAAAAAATGTGCATTTACTATTTTTTTGTAGGAGCCTTGAAAGCATTGCACCTGCAATCAGTAGATCGCAGGTGCAATGCAGAGCTCCTGCAGGCTGTCAGTGTAAGCTGTCTGCTCGTACCTTGTACGGGCCGGCAGTTACACAATGACAGGAATATTCAATAAAATACCTAGCGTTCAACAGAGCCCTTGTAGTTTACTGAGAACTACAAGTCGACAGCCGCAAAGGCTGTCAGTACTTGTACTTCATTCATTCACAGAACTCTGTGAGTGAATGACAAAGCCATGTGGGTGGAGACCTGCAAGGCCACGCTCTATTCAAATAGTGACAGCAGGCGTGGGGAGAAGATACCTGCACCTGCTGTCATGGGGGGGGGGGGGGGGGGGAATCCTGAAAACATTGTTATTGTTGTATTCATATATTGTCTTACTCATTATTGTGTCATTATTATATTTTGCTTTCCTTTTATCATAGAGATATATCATAAAATATGAATGGTTTTTGATGGGCTCTTGTAACACTCTCATTCTTTATGAGATACACACTAAACATTGGTAGATCCTTTGGAACATTACAGGCAGTTTCCCCATATCCATTGCTAGTTGTTTAGACAAAAACTGTTGTAGCTCATAAACTCCAAACAGGGCCACAGGACGTGTTGGTTTAAAAAAAAATTCAGTAATACCATATAGTTATATTAAAGCCCAACTCTAGAAAACCTAAAAGTTATTCCTTGTAGTGTGGCTGTGACCACAATGCAAGAGTTAAGTGCTCGTTTAGGTCTAGGGGACATAGTAAGGAAGATCTACTTACCTGATCCTCCATGTTGCTAGACCTGTTCTTGCTTTGTTTTCCCCCACATGCTCCAGCAGTCTATGGTCCTGATGTTATCAAGACCAATGCAGGGTTCACAGCACTGGATGTGATGACACCAAAGGGCAGGCCATCATTGGAGTGCGGGGCAGTACCATCTGCTGCAAAGAATCAGGTAACTTAAAATGTGCTTCTTCTGTCCCCTAGACTTAATGAGCAACTAACATCAGCAGTGCAGGGAAAATTTTAACTTTCCCAGAGTTGAGCTTTAAAGACAACACAAGTCAGAGGTAGTCCAACACCCTCCCAGAGTATAATGTGAACAGTACCAGCACTGGAAGGGCAGGGAAGTGTTTACTGGAAATAGATGGGGCTTCATGGCTGATGGCCATAATGTATAGATCTGACAAGTGTCAGCCTGCTGACGTATATAGGAGCTCTGAGGTGTGTAGGAGATGTGATGGGTTTGTATGCTGCGCTTAGAAGAAGTAAATGGTTGTAGACATGTGCGTCTCGTTTCTTTATGATTTGTTTTTTTGGATTAAAATTACATATTCGGAGATTAGGATGTATATGACTCTCCAAATGGACATATTAGCAAATGTCAACGAATCAAAAAAAAGTTATAATGAAATTAATGAATACATTTGTTTCATTCACATGATGGCACATGATGCAATAGTAGTCCCCATGGGCCCGTGGGGAAATTAATTCAATTTTCAAATTCATTCGATAATTTGGATAACAAATGGTTCTGAATTTCGTTCCATTCATTATTTTGGATGCACACAATGCCAATCAATATTGTCTAATCAGCTCATGCCATTTTTCTTGGTTGGTTGGACTAGTGTCCGTAAATAATACATCAAATATATAGCAATCTTACAGAAAAACTGCAAACTTTTATTGAATCTACCCTAACCAAGGAATATACAAAATGAATCCCGAAAACGAATTAGTTCAACTTAACGAATATGATGAAACAAAATTGTTCAATGAACGAATGCATCCAAAACGAAATGAAAATGATTGACCTACACATGTCTAAATTGTTGGGAGTCCTCTTCATACACTGCTGTGTGTTACATATTCCAGAATTCCTCCTAGATTGTAAGCTCGAAAGAGCAGGGCCCTCGATCCCCTCATGTTTTGCATTGTATTGGTATTGTTCTGTCACATGTTCTGTCCCCCTTTGTAATGTACAGCGCTGAGCGAACTATTGGCGCTTTATAAATACTGTATAATAATAATAATGTTTCATTCTGTCCCAGTTCAGTGCATTACATACTCTACATTGCTCCACTCTGCAGGCTGTGCTCTGTATTATATCATTCATACCACTAAATATTACAATATTAAAGCATAACTAAAGGTAAAACTTTTTTTTAGTTTTGGATAGAGAGGAGAGAGTTTAGAACCCCGGTAAGGTTTTATTACTGTGTGTGCCCCCATTAGGGAGATTCACCCTCTCTATTTGTCCTGTTTACCATTATCACTGAAAATGAAAGTGAACGAAGCCCCATACTTTGGGTTGTCCCCAGAAAAGTAATATGGGAAGATTTTCCAATGGGGACATTAGTTCTGGTGACCTGGGGGTGCCCAAGGAATTCACTTAATTTAAGAAAGTTCCTGTTTTGGCTATGGGACAGGAAGTGAAAGAAAATTTCCCCAATGGGACACAGATGGCAAAAAATAAACTGGCCATGGTTATAACCTTCCTTTACTCTATCCAAAATGAAAAAAAAAAAGTTTTGCCTATAATCCTACTTTGACATTAAATTTATTTATATCACTGAGGCTATCAAACACCTCCTGATTCAGCAAGTGGGCAAATTTTTGTTAACAATAATAATAAGTCAAGTAGTGACCACTGTCCGACTCTTCCGACTGAAGGTTAGCCAATGTGTCCAAAACTTGTTTTCAGAAGGAATGATTCAATGAACTAGTGTCCGCAATATTAGTGTGCTTTGAAATCTGTCATTAGAAATGAAACCTAGTAACTATCACAAGTGGAATGAGTGTCTCAATATGAAGTCTTTATGAAGTTTAATCTTGGGTGAGGAAATTTTCTGTTTCAATATTTTTTATTGAAAATTTAACTTTATACAACCAAAAGAAATGGTACAGTGATGCATATACCTTTCCAGATGTCATTGTAAAAATCTGATATAGCATTGTAATTCAATAATGAAAACATCAGTAAAGAAAACATCTAATCTAGGACCTTTCGGATTAGGCATGACAGATTGTTGGGTATATGTAAAGAGTCAATACCTAAATTGGTGAAGGAAGGTTATGGAGGAAGGGAGAGGAGGGAAAAATAAATATTTTGGTGAGGGAATTAAAAAAAAAAACCTGTGCTGAGGAAACCACATGGGCTGCCATTGCTGATCTGTTAAACTCTTGCTGACTTCATTCTTCAAACCATTCTGAAACACTGGCCTAAAACAAGTATGTAGACAAGAAGTTCTCACTTCACCAACTGCCTACTTTTTTTTCAGAAAACACTGAAGCCAGAGACAGCCAGTAAACAGCATTTTTGGAACAAGTTCAGCATCTAGTGGCAGCCAATGCTCACAACAATGAGCTAAATAAAATTTTAATATTTTTTCCCTAGGTGTTTGTACATGGGGATGACCTGGAGACTTTCTACAAAGAAATTGGTGCCGACATACTACCGGCTGATTTTGGAGGAAATTTGCCAAAATACGATGGACGAACAGTGTCTGAGAAGCTCTTTGGACCAAGAAATGATTCTGAAGATACAGCTCTTTGAAGAACAAAATATATGTTATATGCCTTAAGTATGTCAATACAAACATGTTGAGTGTTTCCTAGTTCTACCAGTAGTAATTAGGTCTACTATAAGCACTATGACATTGACAAATAATCAGGATCTATCTAAACTGTCTTATATATCTACTGTATATACTTAAAGGTTATATGTGGATATATATAGATCTGTAGTAGTGGAAACAATATAAATTTTCAGGATATTGAGGAAAAAAGCATCATGTTTATTCATTTCATGCTTTTTACACATGTTCACCACCCCACCCTCACCCTCGCCTTCCCTCCTCTTATGCCTCTATCCAGTCTAGGAATCAGGAAGAACTGATGAGCAGTAATTGGTCATGTTGCCACCAAACTTCAGTACTTGCTAAGGTTATGGGAAAGTCTCACTAAGCTCTTTGTATGAACAAAATTGCAGGAAGTGAGGATGACTACTTCGTTCCTGTCTCCTGTAATTTATCTGTTTTGGGTGGAAAATGTGGGATGGGTGAGGTATGGTAATCAATCCAAAAAAATTATGGTAATGCAATGTCATCCATATGGGATGTCTTGCCTAGAGGACTTGGCAAGGGTGGCCATATATGACCGCATGATCTGGAAGGAAATGAGCCCTTGACATCAGAACATGGTGGAAGAGTTCTGTAACTGAAAGAGGACATTCATTTTATCTAATTTTTACTGGCGTCAATCAAGTGGTTACTGCAAGTCTTGGCATTGTGGCAATTTGGATGACCACAGATGCATTTTTAAGAGATTTGCCAATGTCAGATCACCCTATCGTCTTCTGAGGCTATGTATAGCTTGAGCAAGCAAGTCAGGATGCTCAAAAAACAACTGCCATGGTCACAAGGGGTTCTGCACCAAAACCCCAGTGCAGTTTTTGCACTACTGAGAGAAAGATACGGCCTGCACACTTTTATCATGCTTGTGGAAGGAACCCCCATCATGGGACTGTACAACCCCACAAACAACCACCTTGATTCCACCCCACCATGACCATCTGATCAATTATGATAACAAAGAAAACGAAGTGTGGAAAATTTTGGTCGCAGTCCCTTTATTTGCATTTTAAAACAAATATGATAACCTTTGTTGTACCATACCTTTAAACATTAAACACACAGGCCAATACCACCATTAAAACTTTAAACAAACCACCTGCTCAGTCTTTCAGGACTTGAGCACCCAGTAACTGCTCCAACCACCAGGTACCACCATAAACAATGTCCACTTACACCTGTGGGGCAACATTACCTAGCTCAGTCTTTAGGACTCAAGCACCAACCACCACCACCAACCACCAGGTACCACCTTAAACAGTGTCTGTCCACACAGCTGCGAGAAGGGGAGGGGAGTTGACAGCTTGATTGAAGATTTAGACTGTTGTACCAGATTGCAGATGTTGGCACTTATAAACTAAAACAATTCATCCCCATTGGCTGCTTGATTTACTTTCAAATTTTGTTTCTAAGCATTTTTTTTTAACTAAAGGATAAGTTCACCTTTGGGAACACATTACATGTTCCACTTGTTTTTAGGATGGAACATGTAACATGTTCCTAATGCTGCAGCCACGTCCTGCTGCATCCCCTTCCCTCCCCCTCGTGACAGAAGTACGGGGAGAAGTTCCCCGTACTAGCTGTCATTTTTTTAAAAACAGTGCGGCCATGCAGGGCTCCACCGATATGGTCGCATCATTCATTCACAGTATTCTGTGAATGAACCACAAGTCCCAACATCCTTAGTGGATGTCAGCTTGTAGTTCCCAATTAACTACCATGGTGCTGTGAAGCGTTGTGGTAGTTCATTGATTCTTCCTGTCAGTATACTGTATCTGCTTGTCCGTACATCCCGTATAGGCAAGCAGATATACTGACAGGCCTACAGGAGATCTGCATGGCACCAGTGATCTGCTAGTGTATGGTGCAATGCCTTACAGGCACTGTAAGGAGATATGTCTTATTAACTGTCATCCATTTTGTATAATGCCTCCATTTCTAGATGTGAGAACAGTTAGTTTCGCTTGTAACTTCACTCTTGTTTTCTGAGACTAGTTTAATTTCTGATGAAGCAGCACTACATTATATGGTATCCCTCAGTTTCTGTTCTTCACGTAACTATATTGATAAGAATGACATGTTTTATTGGTCAGCCTAAGATTAAGCAACACCCACTGAGATCTGTAAAACAGTTCTTGAGTTCTTGTTTTGCATTAAACTTTCAGAGATTTAGCTTGCACACTTCGGAGTCTGGAGCTTTATTTCTCCCAGGCCTGGTGGTGAAAATAACGAGGACAGGGGCTACAGACATAGGCTATTGCCCTTGTCCTTGTTATTTTCACCACCAGGCCATGGAGAAATAAAGCTCCAGACTCCGAAGTGTGCAAGCTAAATCTCTGATTAGGAATTAGTCATTAGTAATCTCTGATTACCTGATAGGAATCATCCTCCTGCAAGAAAAAAATAAATAGATGCACATTTTTTTACCTGCAAAAAAATTGTGCATTATTTTTGGTCAAAAGGTGAGCTTATCCTTTAAAGCTATGAATGATTGAAGACCAGGGGCGGACTGACCATTTGGAAACTCAGACACTGCCCGAGGGCCCGGGGTCAGTAGGGGGCCCTATGAGATGCCCCTGGTACCTTTTTCATAGGCTTTTTTGAGTTTGGGCAAGGACACAGGGGCCCCATGATCCCCTATTGCCCGGGGGCCCCATGAGTTGTCAGTCTGCCCCTGTTGAAGACCATACAGGAAGGAAAGGAGGAGTTGGTTGTAGGGGGTGACAAGTCCCATGGTGACATTTGGTTAGCCCCGTGTCCCTAGCATGAGCTTGGGAATCTCTTCAAAGCGCTTTCATTCAGGAAAACAATATGAATTACCATTTGCATCTGCACAGAAAATAATATGATTGCAAATGAAAAGAAATACTTAGAAGTTTACTCCTGGTGAAGTCCCCAACTTTCCATTATCGATGGAAAACCAAGCACTATGCTAGGTAAAGAAAATGGCGCTTTGGTTCATTGTACGGTGTGGAACTTCAAATTCTTTCTTCTTTAATAAATGAGCACTAATTTCAGTAATGTTCAGTCTTTTACTTTACAAAACCCTGATGATGTGTTATTGTATAACTGTAACCATAGATAAACCATAAACATTAATCTGTTTTACATAAAATAATCTAGAAAGAAGTAATTGGCTCCAGGCATCCTACTTTACGGCCTGCTTTCCTAATGGCTTCTACATGCAGGCAGTTATTAGGATCTGTTTTATGTTAGTAGTACAGTGTAATTAACAGTGATCTACATTTACAGGACTAAGTACTGATTACTTTATAAGATGGATGACAGCATTTTTATGAAGAGATCTGGCCATCTAAAATATACTGTTACACGGCATAACCATTTGCCATCAGCCTATAATAATAAACATACTATTTTATAGATTTAACTTAATTCGACAATAACATTTAAGGAATCATTACCTAAATTTACGTACCCTTATATACAATTGAAAGCCATTTTATACACTTACCCAATTTTAAGTCTATTAAAACATCAGGAAATGAGTTGTTTGACCGATCAGCTATAGTTTCTAAAATATATATCTAGCAAATAAAATAACTTCCATCATAAAGGGGGCTGTGGCACCTCAGACTCTACAAGATTACCGTTCAGTTAAATAAACTTTTACATATGTGCCTATTTTTCTTTTAAATCCAACATTTGCTTCATTTTTTTTCCTCCTCCTGAAAGTTTCCTATATGAAGAAATTTTAAGTTGAAGCACCGGATATATTTTAGGGCTGGGGCGAGAGTGGAAATGTAATTAAAGTGACACTAAACTCAAGTTTTACAAAGAAAAAGTATGCTGAAACTTTGTATTTTTAACTCAAAAATTACCTTCTATTGCTCTCATTTTCCTCCAAGTCTCCAAAATTGTTTTTTTTTTTGTTGCTGTGATCGGAGAGTGGCTCCATGATCACACTGTACAGGCGTACCTCGGTTTACGAACGCCTCAGTTAATGTAATTTCGGTTTACGAATGAAAATCCATTGAAAATAATGCCTCGGTTTACAAATTTTTTTTCGCAATATGAAGCAAGTTTTCCCAGGATGCATTACACCTGGGAGGTTTATAGCGCCGGCCCCGTGCCTTTAAAGTGTACTTTATAAAGAGTTTTGAACAGATAAGACTTTTTTTTTTACTTTTTTCTGACCTCCGGAACGGATTAATTGGTTTTCAAGGCATTTACAAATTTTTTTTCGCAATACGAAGAAGTTTCCCCTGGATGAATTCCACCTGCGAGGTTTGTAGCGCTGGCCCCTTGAATGCTGGAGTCTGTGGGTAGCACATGGCGTTGAGTGTGGAGGCGTTGGAGCGGTTTTTGCATTGAGTTTTGGAGCCATTCTGGAAATTTTTAATCATGTCCCTGTACAGTATTTATGCCTTGAAAGTGCAGTTCATAGTTTATAAAGACTTTTTTTAAACGTTTTTTGACCTCCGGAACAGATTAATTGGTTTTCAATTCATTCCTATGGGAAACCATGTTTTAGTTTACAAATTTTTTGCAATACGAAACGTCCCGCAGAACACATTACATTCATAAACAGAGGTACGCCTGTGTATATAGGAAAGTGGCCGTCCCCTCTTGCTCACTCCCAAGATAGACTTTGGATTTGTAGTGTACATAGAATAGTGCACATGACCACGACTAACATGCACTGTTCATTCTAACCAAATGGAAGTGATTGGAAAAAGGAGAGGTTTGGGAGGAGGCAGGAAGAACAATTTCATGAAAAATAGATTACAGGGCCATCAAGTAGTGGATGTGTGTGAATTATATTTGGAGAATGAGGATTTTGTTTGATATCACTTTAAAGTGCAGTTGAACCCCTTTAATTCACTATGGTTTTGCAGTGGGACTACATATACTGTAATGAATATGCCTCATTTAACTTTTTTATTAACCAAGTGCTGGAGCAAGA